AGGAGTGAAAGTGGACATGTCACTGACCCAGGAGACAGCATATGCCGTAAAGGAGGTACCGATGAGAGGGCTGTGAGTTCAAAGAATTCGGGAAGGCTTGGTGGAGGAAGTGATACTTGGACGAGGCACGAAAGGGGAGACAGGACGCAGAAATGGGAGCGAAGGCATTTTGGACTGAATGGCCAGTGCAAGCGAAACCCAGGATGGGATGCTCCAGTGTTTAGGACAGAGCTTATTAGGGATGCACAATGAGTTTGGAGAAAGACTGGGAACTTCTTCAAACACCTCTCATGTGCCTTTCTCTACTGGAAGAGTAATGCTGTGCTTGCTGAAAGGATTCTCAAGATCAGGCCTGGGTGTGGTGGCTCACGTCTGTAATCCCTGCACTTTGGGAGGCTGGGGCAGGAGGCTTGCTCACACCCAGGAGTTCAAGACCAGCCTGGTCAACCTAGCAAGATCCTATGTCTATGCATGCACACACAAAATTACTGGGGTCTAGTGCCGGGTTCCTTTCTCTAGTCCCACCTACTCAGGAGGCTGAGGCAGGAGGATCACTTAAGCTCAGGAGTCTCAGGCTGCAGTGAGCTATATCACACCACCACACTGCAGCCTGGGTGACAGGGTGAGACCCTGTCTCAGTACCCCAAAATAAAGATCTGCCTGACTGCTTTTTAGTGTCTGGAGCCGGCCTGCGTGTGCATTCTGACCTGGGAATGTTACAGGTAGCTCCTGCCTGGAAAAATGCTGCACCATCTACCTCTGCCTCTAGGGGACATTAGCGTAGAATTCAATTGAACAGGTACCTGTTTGGCATCTACTGTGTGACAATTGCAATTGGAGAGCAAAAATACAGAAGGTGGCCAAGCACAGATGGAGCAGCTAGTGTGCCCCGGGCCCTCTGGATACATCGTCTCATTTGAACTTGAAAACCACCCTGTGAGGCTGATGGTTCTATTCAGGAATAAATAATGGGCCCAAGATCACAGCTTAGTAGCAGAGACAGGATTTGAACCCAGAGCAGTCTGCCGCCACCATGCAAGGACCCAAATAACGGGGTAAGCAGTTCTAGGAAAGGTATAAACACAGCTTGGCAGTTCAAGGAGGGTGAAATCTGCTCCAGTTGAAACTGCATCATGGAAAAGGTGACATTTGGGACTGGGCAGGGTGGCTTATACTTGTAATCCCAACAGTTTGGGAGGCTGAGGCAGGAGGATCGCTTGAGGCCAGGAGTTTGAGACCAGCCTGGGCAGCATAGCGAGACCCAGTCTCTACCAAAAATAAGTTGGCCAGAATTGATGGCACACACCTGTTGTCCCAGCTACGTGGGAGGCTAAGGTGAGAGGCTTGCTTGAGCCCAGGAGGTTAAGGCTGCAGTGAACTATGATTGTGCCACTGCAGTCCAACCTGGGCAAGAGTGAGACCCTGTCTCTAAAAATAAAGGAAAAGGTGACATTTGGGATTCACTTTAAGCCCATGGATTTTAGCATGGTGATGAGCCTGTGAGCAAGGGAGGATTTTAGGTTGAGAGAAGCTATTGCACAAGGGTATGAAGGCAGGACAGCAGAGGAGCTTAGTAAATAGATAGGGCTGCATAAAAGAGGCTAGAAAAGCAGATGATACCAAGCCTTGAATACCAGGGGCTGGTGGACAATGGGAAGCCACCGATGGATCAGGAGCAGAGGAGTGACATGATGAAAATCAGGCTCTGGGAAAATGACGCTGGCACCGGTGGACGGGATGGAGACGTGATGAAGGATGGAGGGTTTAAGAACCATTAGTCCTGATACTCTCTTCTTAGGGGTGTCACATTACTTGCTAGTGTAGAATAGTTGCTGTTTTCTGTCTGCTGGTTGACTCTGATTCGTGTCTATCTCCAGCATCCAGCAAAAGACCAGAAGCACAATTTGTACAAAACTTATTGAAGGAAAGAATTAACTTTAGTATCAGTTCTCTGGTGGCGACATTGCAAAGAACCCCAGTGAAGCAGACGCATGTCCATGAAATCCTAATGAGACTCTTCATTGAACTTGGGAATTCCACTGTGATTTCTGGTCACTTATTGAGCAAGGTATTTACCTTTGCACTTCATGCGTAGCTTTTGTTAGGTGCTAAATAGGAATAAAAGCAAAACCAATCCAAATCCTGTCATCAAAATTGGAGAGGCAAACTACGAAACATTTAGGTGAGAATGTCCCCTCCCCAGCTTTGACAGTCCCGTTGGCCTAGTTTACTCATCCAATGAATTAGCACACATAAAGCACTTAAAACAGTGCCTGGCAAATGCCAAGTGCTCAGCAAATGTTAGCCATTGTTAGGACTATCCATTCATTCATTCATAGAACACGAGTGATTTTTCAGTGCTAGCTATTACTTGTGCATTTTCATGCATGCTAACTCAAACTGTGCCACAACCAGCCTGCTGGGGAGATGTCATACTTCCATTTGACAAATGCAGAGACCGAGGCCGTGACCATTTATCGGCACTTAGATTTTAATGTGCACACGAATCATCAGGGGTCTTGTTAACTTACAGATTCTGATTTCAGCAGGTCTGGGGTCAGGTTCAAGATTTTGCATTTTAAACAGGATCCCTGCTGCTTTTGCAGCTGCCACTGCCCATGGACCACGCTGAGTAGCAAAGGTCTAAACAAAGCCACTGCTGCTAAGTGGCAGAACAAAGCGCTTTACCTGGAACCTCTGAGTTCAAGTTCAGGGTTCTTTCCTTTTTTCAGTCCCTTTTGCAAGTCTGCTGCTGGGTATCAACTGATTGTTCTCTAGATACGCACACATAGGCAAACAGGATTTAGGCAGGCCCCTTGATGCTATCATCAAACATTTATTGAGCCCTGGGAAAGCAAAGGGTAAAGGCTGGTCTGTGGCCAAAGGGTAAAGCCTGGTTTGAGTGGGTGGGGGCAGGAGTCACTGCAGGCTACGCTGGAGTCTTGCTCCTAAGTTTCAATGTTTGTTTCGTCGGACAGTCGTACAACTGTAAGATCATCAGGTAGGTGTCTCATTGGTGCCTTAAATCCATCATGCCCAGGGTGTCACCTCTCTAATCTGCCTGTATCAGCTCCTCCCTGTGTTTCCCGTTTCTACAGTGGCCGTCATCCTCAGATGGTTGTGTGGCCGCCTTTGGCATTTTCTCAGTATATTTATTTATGAAAATGCGAGGGGACCGATTTCACTAGCTCAGAAGCACACTTTGCCCACCTGAGGAAGAGAAGTCGAAGTTTAAGCCAGGCGCAGGTTTCTCCCCAGTGGCCTGAATGAAATGGACACCAGAGGGCGCCTCAGAACCACTTTTCCTACAAAGGAGGTTTGCACTCTTCCCCCACACAGGCCGTTTTTGCTTTAAGACATGGTCTTCGGGTGATACTTGGCGAGGATTTGAGTCAGTTACAATAGTAAAGTACACATGTCTGTCCTGTCTTTCTTCTCCTTCCTATTGCTAGCACAGAGCTTGTTCACCTTTTAAAGGTCACAGCGATACATCCCTTTGATTTTCTTTTTTTTCTTTTTTTTTTTTGAGACGGAGTTTCACTCTTGTTGCCCAGCCTGGAGTGCAATGGCACGATCTTGGCTCACTGCAACCTCTGCCTCCCAGGTTCAACGATTCTCCTGCCTCAGCCTCCTGAGTAGGTGGGATTACAGGCATATGCCACCATGCCCGGCTAATTTTCTATTTTTAGTAAAGACTGGGTTTCTCCATGTTGGTCAGGCTGGTCTCAAACTCCTGACCTCAGGTGATCCGCCCACCTTGGCCTCCCAAAGTGCTGGGATTACAGGCGTGAGCCACTGTGACTGGCCATCCCTTTGATTTTCTTTGCTCTCCTCCCTGCCCTCAAGGTCTTCAATGCTGTGCACAGGCCCTGGGAAGGGTGAAGGGAATGGACGTTTGTTGAGTGTCCACTGTGAGCTTTGCCCTGTGCAATGCATTGGCAGGTGCTCTGTCATTGAGCAGGTGAATTCCTGGTCCTGTAAGATTTCATCAGCATATAATAGATAATTCTATCTTTAGAGGTAACATCTGCTGAAATAGATTGCTTCCAGAATAGGCTACATTCCTCCTGGTGGGAATCCTTGAGTGCATTACATTCCTCATGGCTTCAGAATTGGGAGCTTGGAGTCGGCCCTCGATGCTGAACCCTTTCCTCCTCCTCTTCCTGTGTCCTCACAGCTGAACTGCCCTGGGCACTCTGGTCTTTCCAAGATGACAACCAGCAGGCCTGGTTAACATGGCCATACCGGAGCGTGGGTGGCTGATGACAACTTCATGAAGGAATGAAGGGCCAGGGAGTGGGGACACCCCCTCGGGTAGAACATCCCCTCTCTGGACCCCAGGGGCCTGTCAAAGAAGGGGTGTGGATAAGACCATCTAGAGCTGCTTCTCACTCTTAACCAATCTTTGCCAGTGGGGGGGGGGGGGGGGGGGTTTTGAGGCCTGATGACACAGTGGGGACAATATTTTTAGGTTGGTATTTTTCATGCTTCTCACATTAAGCCATATGGCCAGAAATATTCCTTCCAGAGATTGCATTATTTTGGATAAGATTGTAGAATGTTAGAAAGAGAGTCATAGGGCGGGGTGCGGTGGCTCATGCCTGTAATCCCAGCACTTTGGGAGGCCGAGGCAGGCGGATCATGAGGTTAGGAGATCGAGACCATCCTGGCTGACACGGCGAAACCCCATCTCTACTAAAAACACAAAAAAATTAGCTGGGCATGGTGGCGGGCGCCTGTAGTCGTAGCTACTTGGGAGGCTGAGGCAGGAGAACAGTGTGAACCTGGGAGGCGGAGCTTGCAGTGAGCTGAGATTGCGCCACTGCACTCCAGCCTGGGCCACAGAGCGAACTCCGTCTCAGAAACAAAAAAGAGTCACAGAAACTTACTGTCATGGAAAATTGAAAGAATTTAATGCAGGGCCACCCATGTCAGACTTGTTCCCAAATTATTCCAATGCTTAGCACGTTGTCAGCACAAGGTAGGTGATCAGAAAAATAATGAATGAATGAAACTTTAGTGAATTAAACCCTAGAATGACTGATAGAATTTGAGACTCAGAGAATATTAGAATTATGGGAAAACATTATTCACTTATGCAGAAGAGGGAGCTGAGATCCCAGAAGTTGGTGACAGTCTTGCGGGTGCTGAAGGATCCATGGCTCCTGGGGCAGGGTTTTCTACAGAGAAGGGGTAGCCTGGGAGGCTAGTGATGGTCCAGGACATATCTCTGAGCTCTGAAGCAGGGATGGGTTTGCAGGAAAGGAATTTTCCAGAGGGAGGGCCTTTGGTGCCAATGTTCCCCAGGACTGGGACTACAGCAGCCTGAGGCAGGACCTCGAGGGACAGGGAGGAGGCTGAGCACAGCCTCAGCAGGGCGGGGTGGGTCCGGTACACAGCCTGTTGGGGTAATGGGCATATTTGCGGTTGTAGGTGCCCAGGTTGCGACGAAAGCAGAGGGCGGCCCTCTTGTCACACTCGCAGGTCAGCCGCTGGCAGGTGGTCCTGCCGGCTGGATGGGACAAAGTGAGTCAGGGACCACAGCAGCTCAGGATACGTGTGGGACAGCTCTTGGCTGCTCCTGGGTCCACATTCTTGAGCTGGACCAACTCCATTCTGATGGAAGCCCAAGCTCTCGTGTTGTTTCAGGGATGGGTGAGACAAGAGACAAGGGCGGGGTGCACTGTGGCTCGGGACACTAGGGAAGCTGGAAGCTTGCCCTCGCTGTCCCTCCCTGCTCTCAAGCCCACGCTGACTGCCCTTAGCTCTCTCCTGCCTTAGAGACACCACTTGGCTCGCTCTCACTGCCCCCAGCCAGGGGGATTTCTAGGCAACCCCTGCACCCCTGTGTGATGCGTTGCTGATGGCGGATTGCGGCCATCAGAGAGGACAGCTACGAAAATGACAGCAACTCACTCTGATGGCTATGTGTGCCCCAGAGTGGCGTGGGCCCAGGCTGGAAGCCACCGGGACCAAAGCTGGGGTCTGCTTAGGGCCCTCTGCCTGTCCTCATCAGAGTGGATAGAGCCCAGTTTTCTGCCCATGCCCAGCCTGGGAGTCAGATTTCTACCCTGACCTGCCCTCCCAAGAGCCAGCTGGCATTAGCTCTGTAGGGGCCCAGAAGGCTCCTCCTCTCTCCACTGCAGCTGCCTCTGTCACCTCTGCCTGCAGTGGCTCCAGCTCCCTTTTTTCTCCATGACTGTATCTCACAGCTCAGACCAGGTGCCTCATTTCGCCCCTTGAAGGTGAGCCTTTCTCTGCCGTCAGGGCTCTGCCCACGCCTGCTATGTCAGCAATACTCAGGGTTGGAAGGGACTTAACACCGAGCCGGTCAGCCTCTTTATGGGGGCTCTTTGCAGGAGCTGGACTGAGCTGGGGAAGCAGGTATAAGCCTCTCCGTTTTATAGATTAGGAAACAGAGGCTTTCCAGGGATTATATCACTTGTCCAAAGTCACAGGCAGGTGGAAGGTGACGCCCTGAGTAGAATCCAGAGCTTGTGTCTCCACCTGCTTGCCTCCTCCTCTAACTCTTCCTCTCAGCCCTGATCCTGGCAGGTGGCTGCTCCTGCCTTTCATGGACTTCCAGCGACAGGGACTCAGTACCTGGCACATTGCCCTGCCAAGTTGATGACTGCAGAGGAAATGGAGCCAGCTCTGCCCCGCCCCCAGGACAGAACTTAGAGACCTGAGCTGAGTCTGAGCCAGCTCTGCCCCGCCCCCAGGACAGAACTTAGAGACCTGAGCTGAGTCTTCTACGACCTCCCGAATCCTTCCGCGCTGAACCATCCGCCCACCAGGCCCTGCCCTTCTTTCAGGCTGCTCCTGGCTTTGTGGCCGGGAGAAAGCTTGGCTCTCCCATGTGGGGTCTCTGCACACTGTCACTTGGTTTCGGCTGCTTGCCTGGGCCTGGGACTAAAGGAAAGCTAATTGGTCCAAGTGGGCATTGGACATGGCAAAGCCGAGCAAATGGGTCCAGCCTGACAGTCCCAGTGAGGAGTCAGCCTTTGGAAACCACGTCTGCTGTCCCCAAAGCCCCAGCTCGTTCTGTCTTAGGGACTTCACCTTTAGCTCCTGCTGAGGCCCTGGGAGGGTGCCTGAGTCCAGCTCCTCTGGGCCCTGGCTCAGCTCAGCCCCCTCCGCTCCTCTTTCCAGAGGGTGGAGCTGGGAGGTGTCTGTGGGTGGGGAGATACCTGGGGCTGAGGGCTGCACTGATGGGGTATGGGCTTCTCTAGCCTGGGTACCTGGTGAACATCTGGGTCTCACTGTTACATGGTGATGGGAAACCCCATGCCTCCAGCCCGGGGTCTGGCTCTGATAAGGCCCAAGGTCACCATCAGGAGGGGCTTCCTGTCTTAAGCTGCCTCCACCCACCTCACCACAGGGTGTCTGTGTCACTTCAGGGCTGTCCACCTACCGCAGAAAATGCCACGTTTGCTGACAGAGAAAAGATACTTTTCCAGTTTGGGCTCACAGCCCAGCTCCTCCAGACGTCCATAGCAGCAGTCGTGGGCGTGGCAGCACCTGTAAGGGTCATGGTCAACCTGGGGGGACCTGTGAGCCAGGCTGGGGTGGACCAGGGGCTGCTCGGGGGCCCAGAGCCCAAAGCGGCCCAGAGGAGAGATCAGCCTGAATTTTCCAGGCGCACCCCCTTCTCCCAGGATCCTCCCAGGATCCCCCAGCTCTTCCATCCCCATGGAGGTCCCCCTGCAGGCTGCCTCCTCACCAGTCAGTCTCGTCCACTGGCCAGTGGGAGCCGCCGACGCCGCAGTAACAGCCATAGTCGTTGTACTGCAGGGCAGACTTGCCCGTCATCTTCTCGATCATCACCCCGAACTGGACCAGGTTCCCTGTGACCAGGGCCACTGTGGAGAGGGAGGGCCCCACCCTCTGCAGCCAACTTCCCTGATGTCCCCTCAAACCTGATCACAGGCATCTCTCCAGTTGTCCAGTTAAGCTCACCTCCCCAAAGCAACCCACCCTCAACAACAAGCATGGTAATAAGTAACAATATTGCCAATGACAGCCTTTGCACCTTTATCCCCCTGGTCTTCACCTCCAGTGTGTCGGCCCCTCCAATGTCCCCTCCCACTATTATCTTCTATCTACAACACTATCACTCATTCACCCCTTCCAGGGGCTCCTCACCAGCCACCAGTCCTCCCCAGGTGTCGGCCCTTATCTCACCCAGGAACACTCTGTCCCCCCAAGTCTCATCAGATGGCACTGGACCTGTCTCCTGATCACCTCAGCTGACCTCCCTGAATTCCTCCCGGTGCTCCTGACTCAGCCATGGGGCTGAATCCTGCCCACCTCGGCAGGTCGGAGCCAAACATGGAAGCTAGGGTAGGAGAAGGGGCCCAGGGTGTGGTGTCCAGGATGCTCCAGCCCCTGGCCCATGCCCCTCACCCCTCCCAGCCCGCATTCTCCTCCCCTCTGCTCCAGCCACTGCTGGCTCAGGCAAAACTGGCCTCGGGGTCACCCTGGTGGCAGGAAGGGGGCAGCCTCCACTGTTTGGCATCTACCATGCCGTCAGTAGGGCCAGGCTCAGGGGCATCTAGGGAGCTTGGGGTTGCCAGATGGGGCAGAAGAAGGCTGAAGGTCACAAAGATCACTTACCCAGGAGGCAAAGGAACACCAGCACGTGGGGAGGTTTCATCCCAGGTTATGGAGAAGGGAGGTGCACAAGGAGCACAAAAGGCAGCAGAAGAAAGCAACGGGGGCACCTCTGATCTCAGGGCGCCTCCTAATTAGTTAAATACCCAGGTCCTATCCACTCCCTGTCATTAACCCGTGAGTGCCCAGTGATGCAACGATTCTTCCAGGTCTGACACTTTGGCCAAGTCCCCGGGGAGGGGCCAGTTGGGGCCTGTGGGCTCTGCTTCCAGGCAGTGTAGGGTATGGCGGGCAATCTCGTGGCTCTTTATACTCACACCCTTCCCATAGCCCACCCTTTCCAAGAAATCATCCATTGACCAAGCTGCAAGGTGCCGGCTGTGCCAGGTGCTTGTCATTCTTGATATCTTTTCCTCATCCCCATTTGACTGAGACGCAGAGAGACTGAAAATCTTCAGTTCTCACAGCCCGGAGGTGCCCAGGGCCAAGTCTGTCCTCTTTCCAAGTTTCCACCCAGGCAGAACCGGAGGCAGGAGACCCCCGGCCTGGCCTGGCGCTTCCCCTCCCCGACCCTCCTGCCTGGTCTGTGACTGGGATCACTGACTGTGCACCTCCGTCACCATTCAGGGCCTGGCAGTCGCTGGGTCTGTGGCCTTGGAGTCCTGCTTCCATTGCATACTAGGCGGCCTTGGGCAGATCCTTTCCCTTGCTTGGAACCTCGGTTTTCCTGCCTGTATTATGGGGATAGAAGGTGTCCCTCTTGCCTCCCGCACAGGAGGATGGAAAACTCACACGCAACCAGGCAGCCAGCCCTCACCGAGTACTTGCTATGCACCTGGCACTGTGCCGAGCCCCTTTCAAGCAGGACCACAGCCCCATCATGTGGGCGCTGCAGTCATCCTCATCTTACAGAGGAGGAAACTGATGCACATGTGTAAGTGATGAGCTAGAATTTAAACCCAGGCAACCCAAAGGGCTTCACCTGGGCCAATTCATCCAGCACAAAGTGGAGGCGGTTCCTAGCACCCATGCTCCTTTTAGTGGCCCCAACAGAATGTGTTAATTTCTTATCAAAGTAGGAGAAAAACAAGTACCATCACACCTGGATTATATTTGTCTTCAAACCAACAGTCATAACATTTAATTTAATTTTATTTTTTTTATATGGAGGAAGAGCCCACAAAAGCCAGTGTGCCCAGGGCCCATGACAACCGGCGTGCTGCAGCCCTGGGCCTAACCTGAAGCCAGGAGCTGGTCTAGGGCCTGGTGCCAGCCTCCCTTCCAGGAGACGAGACTAAACCCAGTGAGTCTGGGTCTCGCCCTACAGGCTGGGAGGAATCCCGACACAAATTCCCTGACCCCAACCAGCCGGAGGGTAGAGGCCCGGGGAAGTTTCACCTTGGAGTAAGGAGAGGAGTGCTGAGTGTTAATACTCTTGTGTTAAAAACCTTTTGTCGGCCGGGCACGGTGGTTCACGCCTGTTATCATAGCACTTTAGGAGGCCAGGGCAGGTGGACCACTTGAGGTCAGGAGTTCGAGACCAGCCTGGCTAACATGGTGAAAACCCATCTCTACTGAAAATACAAAAATTAGCCAGGTGTGGTGGCAGTCACCTGTAATCCCAGCTACTTAGGAGGCTGAAGCAGGAGAATTGCTTGAAGCTGGGAGGAGGAGGTTGCAGTGAGCTGAGATCACGCCACTGCACTCTAGCCTGGGCGATAGAGCGAGACTCAGTCTCAGAAAAATCAGTCAATCAATCAATAAGAGTAAAGCCCAGGAAACTCTTGTCTCCTGCCCCTCCCATTCGTTTCCTGCTAATACCTCCTCCTGGGACTCTTTTCCTGCTGGGCTCTTCTCACCCTGCTTCAGAGAAGACTTCGGGGGAGAGGGTCAGAGAGGTGAGTCCACCTGCCCAGGATCACCTACCAGCTGTGAGTCATGGTCTCCTGAAAAGGGAGACCTTTGTTCACCGTTTCCTTTTGATCTCCTAGCAGCCCCTGGCTCTCCTGGCCTGGGTTACAAGAGCCCAAACAGTGAATCACTGAGGAGTTACCTTCTAAACAACTGAAAATTAGCGTCGATTCCCTGGGAGGTTTGGCCCACAGCCATTCCTGTGGTGGCATAAGGCGTGTTTCCCAGGAAGGGCCAGGTTTCGGAGACGATCCCTTTTGTGACCCATTTTGAATCTGGCCCAGCTAGGACAGGGCTCCTCCAAGTTCCTGCAGGTCTATACTTGTAGCAGAAAAGTAAAGACTATAGGGCCAGAGCCAAGCAGAAAAAGCCAGGCAGGCTTCCAGGTGGAGGTGCTCTCAGTTGAGGTTTGAAGCTGGAGTGTTGGTAGGACTTGGACTTGGAGGGCAGTTCAGACATTTGGGGAAAGGTAATTGATTTTATGGTCATTGGCACAATGCGGTAGAAAGCATCAGCAAGACCAGGGCTTGAGTGATGACCCCTGCACTTAGGGGCTATGTGATCTTGGCCAGTCCCATCACTTCTCTGAGCCCAGCTTCATCTTCCATAAAATAGACTGTCCTCTCAAGGTTGTAGACCAGAAGAAAAGGAAATGAAATGAAATATGTAAAGCCTTTGCAGGAGGCGTTGCCCAGGAGCCATAAATATTGGGTCCCTCCTTTTCTCCGTTCCCTGGCCATGGAGGAAGCAGATGCTGTCCCAGGAGCTCAAGGCACTTACTCCCACTGGGGTATAGCATGTGACCTGGCCAGGGCTCCAAGCACTTTGATGGGATTACTGTCCCTACTTGACAGGTTTTAACTTTCATGATGGAGGGTTGTTAGGGTAGAGGTGAGTGGAGGGAACAGGGCCCAGCCTCTCAGTGATATCTTTTTTCTCTTGATATAAACTTGTCCCTTTTAGCTTAGAAGTCACCATCATCATCATCATCATAATCACTATCAGTATCATCATCATCACCATCAATATTACCATCATCGTCACCATCACCATCATCACCATCAATATTACCATCATCATCACCATCGCCATCACCATCACCATCATCACCATCAATATTACCATCATCATCACCATCACCATCACCATCATCACCATCAATATTACCATCATCATCACCATCGCCATCACCATCACCATCATCACCATCAATATTACCATCATCGTCACCATCACCATCATCACCATCAATATTACCATCATCGTCACCATCACCATCATCACCATCAATATTACCATCATCACCATCGCCATCACCATCACCATCATCACCATCAATATTACCATCATCACCATCAATATTACCATCATCGTCACCATCACCATCATCACCATCAATATTTTACCATCATCATCACCATCGCCATCACCATCACCATCATCACCATCACCATGAATATCATTAATATGGTTTTTATCTGTGTCCCTACCCAAATATCACATTGAAATGTAATCTCCAGTGCTAGAGGTGGGGCCTGATGGGAGGTGATTGGATCATGGGGTCGGTTTCTAATGGTTTAGTACCATTCCCCTAGTGCTGTTTTCCTGACAGAGTTCTCATGAGATCTGGTTGTTTAAAAGTGTGTAGCATCTTCCCCCTCCCTCTATTCCTCCTGCTTCAGCCAGGTAAGACGTGACTGCTTCCCTTCACCTTCCACCATGATTGTGTGTTGGCGACCAGCCTCAATACCACCTGTAGGGTACCTGAAGTCTGGTGGCAAAAAGAAATGAGAAAAGACAGGTTAAGAGTTCATAAAGGTGGGAGCCAGGGGACCAGTTGCAAAACGGAGGCTGCAAAAGGCTCAGAGCTCTGGTATCCACAGTATTTATTGAGTACAATCACTTAGATCTAAGAAGCAGATGTTCAGGGCGGAACAGTGAAAGGATGACAGTGCGTCGTAGGCGTAATTTATAGCAATAGTAGTTTAAATGAATCTCCTTTATGCTCAAACAGTATATCTTTAACTCATCGGAGAGTAGCTAGTGGGAGTGGGCTTAACTAGGAGCCTGCATGTCTGTCTGCTTTCCAGTGCTTCAAAGGAGTGTCTTTCTCCTTGAACACAGTGTTTACAAATAAGAGAGTGGGTCTCGCTCTGAGCATGGGAACATGACGGCAATTAGGAGGCTTTCCTCCTCAGAGGCCTCTCGTGGCTTTCCACAACTTATTGTCCTATATTTTTATGGCCAGTTTATACAGGTACCCCAGAAGCCCTTTTCCCAACATACCCCCCTTTTTTCTTTTTTAAATCCGCCATTGCTATTATGGCTTGTTCGTAGTGTCTTTTTTTTTTTTTTCCAGAGGCATCTTTCACATCTGTAGACTAAAAGCAAACAGTGTAAACAGATACACATTAAAGCACAATTTGCAATTGTTGATCCTCCAATGGTCTTAATTCATTTAAGAGGATTTACCTTTGAAAGTCCATCAGCAGCTCCAGCGAGAGTGTTAGTCATAGGCAGGAGAGTTAAATGAGCCTGAGATGCTTTAAAAACCTGTTCCTTAAATTTGGCTATATTTAATGTTAAATTTTTATTCTTTCCTTCCAGATGATGTCTAACTTTTTTTCTAATGATGTTTAGTAGCATTATATAAAGGGGGAGTTATGCAGAAATCAGAAGTATTCCAATTACATTGCATTTGCAAATGATGCTCTAAGCTCGTTATACGATCTCCTATCTAAATAACAGTCTAAGATCATTTGTTTGATTTGTCAATTGTTGGTCTATCCAGGTCTGAGAATTCTACAATTTTGAGGAATTCTTTTGTCAATTATTTACATATTTTGCAGTTTGAACAGAGGAGTGTAAAGCATTTCTAGCAGCCGCAGCAGTAGCTGTGACTGCAGTAAGGCCTATAATGACTGCTGTAAGGGTAAAAATAAATTTTTTTGTTCTGGTAAACACTCCTTTTAACATTTCTGTGATGATATGAATGGAAGGAGAGGCTTCTTAAAGTCTATTGAGGGAAACTGGTATCCAAACTCCTTCTCTAGCAACACAGATGTTTTTACACCAAACATGGAATCAATACAGGTGAAAAGGCAACAGTTTTGACAAGTAATAGTTTGAGAATTAGGTCGAATATCAATACTTCTGACCATCAACATAAAAGGAGGCTTGACACAACTTTGAATGGGCACCGTTTGGTTGGAAGAAAACTGATACAAGTCTCTCACTTTTTTGGATATATTAGTTTTCTTCCTAAACCTGAATATGAGATTGGGCCATCATTAATGTCCATACTTTGGGATGTTCAGGGTCTATTATTGCATTAATCATTTTCGGATGTGGGCCAGCCGTACCAAAATCAGTCCAAATTATGGGAAACGGGGCACGTTTTTTAGTGTAAATAGTGTCATGTTTTTGACAGTATAGTTTCTGTTTCAGTCCTGTCTGGCATCTATTATTCTGATTGGTACAATTAACTGCAAAGGTCCCCTTAGGGGACCCATCAATGACGATTCCATAGGAATTATTTTGTAGTACCACAGCGTGATCAGAGATGTAATTTTTCCAAATCAATATTTCTAAATTCTTTGAACATTGTTGTGGTTGTTGACACCTCTCTTTTCTGGGCTTGAACTGTTTTAATTGAACCCAACTTTGTGAATGATCCAG